TATATTTTCGTTTTTTCACAAAGCAAGAAAATCTCCGAAAAATGATACAGAGATTTTAAAAGTTTTCAGAAGCCGAGTATCTTTTGTTATGGCTCGGCAGCGACGGCTGCTCAGCCGAACAGCTTACGTCGCTACATTCAAGCACGCAGTGACATACACTCCCACCGGCACACACACACTGATCCGCCACACGGTCCTTTATCCGATGGACCACTCTCATGAATAAAACACATTTCTATTTACCCAAATCTAATCTCACAAACTCTTATGAATTTAAATTGATATTTTGTACTCGATGATTTCTGTATTCGACGACATAGAGATTGCTGTGTCGATCGAATGACAAACCGATGGGCTCATTGAGCTGATTCGATTGTCCTCCTCCACCAACAATGACACTTCCCTTTGTGGCTCCTTTGGGCCAACGCATTATTCGATGATTCCATTGATCAGCCACATAGACAGTGCCCAATTGATCGACAACGACTCCTTCAGGATGTGACAACTGTGTAAGACCGTTTCCTTCTCTTTGACCACCAGCCACGACAATGTCTTGTTTTGCACCTTCCACCCATTTCATCACACGATCATTTTCCCAATCAGACACATATACTGAATGATCTCGATCGACGAATACGTAGTGTGGGCAAGAGAGTTGATCGAGACGATTTCCACTTCCATTGCCACCTGCAACCACTATTCCCTGAGATTCTCCTCTTCGATATCGTCTCACTTCACGTTTTCCATTGTCGACGACATAGAGAGATCCATTCTCGTCCATTGTCAAACCCCCACAACTGATGGTGGAGATGATTGTTTCTCCACTTGTCCCATTTCGACGAGGCCATCGAACCACTCTTTTATTCAAATAATCGCAAATGATGAGACTATCTCTCTCTTTGTCGACAATCACATCAAATGGGTAAGACAACTGATGAGTCCCATTTCCTTCTCCATTTCCACCGGCAACCACTTGGCCACTCGTCGCACCCCATTTCCATTCCACAATACGATGATTCGCTCGATCAGCGATATAGATTGTTTGATCATCATCATCAACATACAAACCACATGGGTTTGAGAGTTGATTGATTCCATTGCCATATCCATTTCCTCCAGCCACAGTGAGACCATTCTGTTGCCATCGAGCATTTGGATGAATGTCAGCTGATAGTGAGAATATTGAGATGAAACAGAGCTTTGGAGTATGTAAGAGCTCCTAGTCAAGAGTTTTTCCTCAATGAAAACGGATATATAAAGTATTACTTCAAAGTTCTCAGCTCTTCAATGATAGAAATAGTAGTGTATGATTAGCTATCAAACGGTGTATGAAGCAAAAATAAATATCAGCTCATAGTTGTAAAATTAAAGGCAATGAGTCCAACAGCTGTAAATTCCATTGCTAAGGTGCAGCTTTTTGAAAATTGCACTACGAACACCGCCCGATTAAACAAATTTGAGTCATAGGGCTTGTAGAGGAAGTTCAGCAGTATACTTTTTCATTTTGTAGAAAAGTTAGGAGTCTCTGCTAAGAGGGAAGGTCAATCTCAGTTATCTCATAAACAATAAATGTATGAAGTCCGAAAAAGGAGATATTCGTGATCAGCACAAAATTCTGCGTCGAATGGTGTACTTTTAAGGGGAAAATGAAGAGTGCTGAAATTTTGAATTACCGGCACCTTACAAAGGCGGACTGAAACCTAACCTAACTAGAAGTTGACGTGTTTTCTCGATAAACACTGAGCCGGTTAGTGGAATTGCCTGAGGTGTAAGAAAAAATGGTTCAGTAGAATTAGAGAGAGAGAATTTGCGAACTGTTAAAAATCGTCTTAAAAAGGATATAGGACAAATAGGGTCACTCTGATGTGCCCGTAGAAGGATGATATCGCACACTATTGTGCATTGTATAGTATAGTTCTATCTGGCACCATTTTTTTAGGCTGAACTCGTTTTTTATAAACATGGTCCTAGCGGAACTTGCTTGAACTACACTGATAAAAGTGGCAACTGAGTCCTATGAGACTTGACCTTTACTATACCTTT